TGGGCATTGTTGCTTCTTTGTATTGTTGCTTCTGTGTATTGTTGCTTATGTGTATTGTTGCTTCTGTGTATTGTTGCTTCTGTGCATTGTTGCTTCTATGTTTTGTTTCTTCTTTACATTGTTGCTTCTGTGTATTGTTGATTCTGTGTATTGTTGCTTCTGTGTATTGTTGCCTCTGTGTATTGTTTCTTTTCTGTACTTTTGCTTCTGTGTACTTTTGCTTCTATGTATTGTTGCTTCTGTGTATTTTTGCTTCTGTGTATTGTTGCTTCTGTGCATTGTTCCTCCTGTGTACTGTTGTTTCTGTGTATTGTGGCTTATGTGTATTGTTGCTTCTGTGTATTGTTGCTTCTGTGTATTGTTGCTTATGTGTATTGTTTCTTCTCTGTACTGTTGCTTCTGTGTACTTTTGCTTCTATGTATTGTTGCTTCTGTGTATTGTTGCTTCTGTGTACTTTTGCTTCTATGTATTGTTGCTTCTGTGTATTGTTGCTTCTGTGTATTGTTGCTTCTGTGTAGTGTTGCTTCTGTGCATTGTTGCTTCTGTGTTTTGTTTCTTCTTTACATTGTTGCTTCTGTGTATTTTTGCTTTTGTGTATTGTTGCTTCTGTGTATTGTTGCTTTTGTATATTGTTGCTTCTGTGTATTGTTGCTTCTGTGTATTGTTGCTTATGTGTATTGTTTCTTCTCTGTCATGTTGCTTCTGTGTAATTTTGCTTCTATCTATTGTAGCTTCTGTGTATTGTTGCTTCTGTGCATTGTTCCTCCTGTGTATTGTTGTTTCTTTTTATTGTGGCTTATGTGTATTGTTGCTTCTGTGTACTGTTTATTCTGTGTATTGATGCTTCTATGTATTGTTGCTTCTGTGTATTGTTGCTTCTGTGTATTGTTGTTTCTATGTATTGTTGCTTCTGTGTATTGTTGCTTCTATGTGTTGTTGCTTCTGTGTATTGTTGCTTCTATGTATTGTTGCTTCTGTGTATTGTTGCTTCTGTGTATTGTTGCTTATGTGAATTGTTGCTTCTATGTATTGTTGCTTCTGTGTATTGTTGCTTCTGTGTATTGTTGCTTCTGTGCATTGTTCCTCCTGTGTATTGTTGTTTCTGAGTATTGTGGCTTATGTGTATTGTTTTATTCTGTGTACTGTTTATTCTGTGTATTGTTGCTTCTATGTACTGTTGCTTCTGTGTATTGTTCCTCCTGTGTATTGTTGCTTCTGTGTATTGTTGCTCCTGTGTATTGTTCCTCCTGTGTATTGTTGCTTCTGTGTATTGTTCCTCCTGTGTATTGTTGCTTCTGTGTATTGTTGCTTCTGTGTATTGTTGCTTCTGTGTATTATGCTTCTGTGTATTGTTGCTTCTGTGTATTGTTGATTCTGTGTATTGTTGCTTCTGTGTATTATTGCTTCCGTGTAGTGTTGCTTCTGTTTATTATTGCTATGATCTATTCTTGATTCTGTGTATTGTTGCTTTCGTGTAGTGTTGCTTCTGTTTATTATTGCTATTATCTATTCTTGATTATGTGTATTGTCGCGTCTGTGCATTATTTATTCAGTGTATGTTTTGTATTTGTGTATTGTTGATTATGTGTATGTATTTTGTCTGTGCGTGTTGTGTCTTTGCATTGTTGCTTCTGTGTGTATCGTCTATGCGTGTTGTGTCTGTGTATGGTTTCTTCTATGTATTTTTGCTTCTGTGTAGATATCGTCTATGCGTGTTGTGTGTGTGTATAGTTTCTTCTATGTATATTTTGTGTCTGCGCTTGTTGTGTCTCTGCACTGTCGCCTTTGTGAATGGTTACTTCTGTATGTGTATTGTGTCTGCGAGCCTGTGTTTGCCTGTTAGTATGTGCTTTTTTCTTTACACATATTTTATGTTTGTGTCTATTTATTGTATCTATGTGTATGTGTTGTGTCTATGAGAAGACGTATGCATGTGTATCTTGTGTGTGTGTGTTTGTTGCCATTATATCTACGTGTGTGTGCGTTTTGTGTCTCTCTGTGAATGTGTTGGGACTGTGGTTTTTTGGGGTCTGTGTCTATGTGTTGGGTCTTTGACTGTGTATGATGTATATATGTATTTTGTGTCTGTATGTCTGTGATGTGTCTGTGTTATGTGTTCTTACTGTTATTGTGTGTATGTTATGGTGCGTATGTCGTCAGTACCGTATGGATGGAAAGCTGTTCAACCCCAGGAGGCTGAAAGCGAAAAGAAAAACTAAATCAGCCACCATCAGGGAGTTCCTGTTTGCCGACGATTGTGCCCTTTATGCCAACACAGAAGCGGATATGCAGCACAACATCGACAAATTCAGTGATGCTTGTACAAACTTTGGGCTCACTATCAACAAAGATAAAACTGTAGCCATGCACCAGCCAGCCCTAGGGCAAGGATACATCGAGCCCAGTATCACAGTGAACGGATACACAGTAAATTTACTTATCTAGGCAGCACCTTTTCACAGAGTGCCACAATTGATGATGAAATAATTGCAAGGATCGATTGCTATTTATCTGTCCTATTGCTCATTCATTTTTCTAGGCCACATGCTGTTTTAACCACAACAGTTTCATTGTAATCCCTAATCATCATTGTTACCTAAAAATTACTACACTGATCAAAAGCCATTTAAAGCCAAAACTAACTAGTTATTAAATGCATCAATGTCATCTTCTGATTTTCTTCAGTTGGTTTGAAACACATGTACAAGGTTTATGTCTAGTGACTGCTATGGATCTTTACTAATAGCACCCAGTCTGAAATTGTTTAAAATCCTTCAATGGTTTTTGCACATCTTGCGTCCAAAATTATTGCAGCAATTTTTTTGTTTCATATTCCTTCTCAACTAAAAAAAAAGTAATTCTGTATTTAGCTGATTACTTTCTCCACGCACCCGGACATCACATGTCACTAGTTCCTTATATTTTAATATTCATTCTATCCCTTTCGATGTTGCCAACTTTCCATTTTGTCATGTGTTCTGACATTCCATGTACGAAGGTTTAGGACGTTTCTGACATTCCATGTACCAAGGTTTAGGACGTTTCTGACATTCCATGTACCAAGGTTTAGGACGTTTCTGACATTCCATGTACCAAGGTTTAGGACGTTTCTGACATTCCATATACCAAGGTTTATAACGTTTCTGACATTCCATATACCAAGTTTTAGGACGTTTCTGACATTCGCTTTCTCTACAGTGTCCCAATGACAATCGGGTATCACCTGTAGAACATGATGCTCCCTACTGGACGAGGTGATTCTGTTAAAACAACGTCTTTCTTCTTCCCCCCTCCCCCATGTTGAAAGCATCACTGATCACTTTTATCTTGAAGGCTAGTAGACAGAAATGGCTGCGGCATATTGAGAGAATGTCAGATGACAGAGTGGTAAGTACTGTACACAAGAAAATTGAACTGTTGTAGACAAGGTGGCAGACCAAGAAGACAGTAAAGAGAGGACTGATTTCAGTTGTGAATGGTGGAGGCTGGTATCTGCAGTAATGATCTTCAATGACTCAGAATGTTGAAGGAGAAAATTTTGGTACTGTGATGCCAAATGATTGACTGATTTTTAATGCAATCATTCCGGTTTATGTTTATCTTGATCTAAATCTTGTTTTTATCTTCTTTTGGCAGATTCTCACGACACGTTATTATCATGGAATGGCCAAAACCACCCCTACACTTTGGACTATTCGTGACGCTGGGGCCCCAGGTCACATTTAAATTTCGACCCGTCCGGTGGGTATATAGTCCATCATGTCTATTTACACCTTTATGTAAGGGGAGGGTAAAACAACACGTACTTAGAATCCTAAAATATCAGCAACGAAAAACACAGGTATTGAGAAATAGATAAGGGATTCATAAACTGTAACCCTGTGTTGAGCTAGAGGTGTAGTTTATTTGATTAAATGATGGTTTCGATATTTTTCTTAGAATTTTAAAATATAGGCTTGTGGAAAAGGTAACAAATGTATGTAATTTAGCATCATAAGACAACAATCAAAACAAATACTTCATAAAATCTTCTTTTAAATAGACACGTCCCTAAAACATTGTTTTCGTACTATCCACACCAAATTTCATGTTTCTATTCTCTCTATTAGCTGAGATTTTCAGGATTTTACCCACACAACAAACAGAACTGTGAGAAAAACGAACATTTAAACTTTTTTTTTATCTTTAAAAAGTGCACGAAAACTGTCTTTAGTATTACTTTTTTAAAGCTCATTTGCTACAAATAATATAAATCGTGTGTGTAGTCTGTTCTACGAAAAACGAACCCGTTGAAAAAGTAATATTTTTGTCATAAATTAAAACAAATGCCGTGTAGGTACCTGTTTTGTGATTGTCGGTTCCTTTCTCCTGATGACGTCCCCAATACATTGCTAGCTTCTATGTCTTACCGCTGATGCTACAGCGCACATTCTTGCATTTCCCTGCTTTGTTCAACTTCCTTGAAATTTATATCATTTCACTTTCATCAATTTCTTTAGGCATTTTTTAATTTTATTTTTGCATATTTTTTTCGTTGCTTGTCTTTAGCCGTTCCCCACCATTTCCTGGCAAGTGTTACACTGAAATTACACTGGAACTGCAAATATTTAACTTGCTTTAAAACTATTGATTTTTTTTTTTTTTTTTTGGTAAAAAAAAACAAAACAGCTTACACCATCATGTGTCGTCATCTGATAGATTACATTATTTAAGTTAGGCCAGAACTTGAGAGTTGTCTGTCCGTTGGAACATTCACCAAAAATATATTGTTTGGGTGTTCGGGAGTTTCAGGAACACACACACACACACACACACACACACACACACACACACACACATGCAATGATTCACAAAGTGTTCTTCACTATTTTAAAGTTGACATAAATAGAATGACAGCACAATTAAAACGGGAGCACACGTTGTGAAACAATCAACAGCTGACTGTATGTGTCGGTTTCGTTTTGTCTGTGTCCCCTGTGTCTGCAGACAGTCAAACAAATCAATCCCACTCTCTTCTTAACCAATGAGACAACAGACGTCCCAAACTGATAGTTTGCAATGATGGCGCATTTACAATTCTGCCTCGGAATTCAAAACAGCCAACTTCTCTGTTTGTGATCGGATCTCTGAAGCGTCCAGTTATTTTATAATTGCCCTAGTAAAAAAAAAAAGAAAGAAACCATATGATTGTTGTGTGGTGTGTGTGTGTCGCATGACCGTATGGTGTGTGTGTGTGTGTGTGTCGCATGACCGTATGGTGTGTGTGTGTGTGTGTGTAGGAGTGTATAGCGTCAGTGTGACAAATAACATATGAACGTAAAGCATGCTGTAATTCACATCTATATGTGTGTGCGTGTGTGTATTGACTGATCGCCCACGCCAGTCGGCAAGATATTTCATTATATATATATATATATATATATATATATATATATATATATATATATATATATAACATTTTTGATTTTTATTTGAGGTAGTGAGAAGTGAAAATGGAATAACAAGGCGGTGGGAGACAAAAATATGTGCTTAAGATGAGTAGTTACCTGCTTGACTGCAAAAACAGGCAAAGTCAAGAAAAGACAAGCGATCTTCTGGTGCAGGAGCCATGAAACATGAGTAGTTACCTGCTTGACTGCAAAAACAGGCAAAGTCAAGAAAAGACAAGCGATCTTCTGGTGCAAGAGCCATGAAATAATACTCATGTCTTAGGCGATGAATATGTGAATAGTGAATTACACAAAATCAATTACAACAAATAACTACATAGTCAGAGCCTAGCCATACTACGTGCATAAACTACAAGTTCTATTGCGAATGACACAAATCGAATGTAATAAGCATATTCAACATCTGTTTATTTTCCTGAAAACAAAACTATTGCGCTTAACCGATAACAATACATTCAAATTCAAAGTGTTCGAACAGACCATATGCTAATCACTCCAGCTACCAAAGATGAAAGTTCGCCTTCTGTACCTACTATCAGAATCTCCGAGCGAGGAAGCACATTGGAAAGTTAGATCTAACTACTGAACGCACTACCACAACACGAAAACCAATGAGCAAATCCATCTCTGGACTCAATCACCCTGAACCGACATTGCGCTGAGAACCCTGTACGGCCCCACAACGAAAAGTCAGGCCTACATGTTTCTCCTCTTGTCTCGCAGCCGCAGAACCAAGAGCCAATAACAGACTTGTCTCACGTCCTGGGTCTTTTTCAAACTCCACAAACAATCGTGACTATCTGTACACTTCCGGCAAGTTCTGATCTGCTAGCGTATTAGTTTTAGTTTGCAAGTGTAACCGAAACAAAATAGTATAACCTGCTAACAACCTACTCCTACCGACCTGCTAGACTTTGCGACCATTGCTTCTTTGTTTGCGTTTACCGGCTGCAAATCTAGAAGAACATTTTGGTTGCTAGTCTAATTTAAGACCGGCTTTGTTCTAGAAACTGAGTTTTGCATGTACATCGGTTTTGCAGATCTGTCATTGTCTTACCTTCCTGGCTGATAAACTCATCTAAAGTCATCTGAACCTTTGCTTTTTAGTAGGAGGCCCTGATGTGAGCTCACACATTGTACAATGAATTCTCTAAAGACCTTGGCTGACGCTGGATATTGTATCTCTGGAGGCCACCAGCTCCAAAATCTCCCATCCCCACCCGCCTATCTTTTGACCGACATAAATCATTCTTAGAATTACACCGATAAAAACGGCAAGCAGCGATGTTTTCAACAAATTTACAGCTTTGGTCAAAAGAGAATGAGATCACTGAGGAATGTTTCATACTTATAAAAACATCATTATATTCTTATTATTGTTTGTGCTGCTGCTGCTTTTGCTGCTGCTGTTGTTATTGTTTACAGACAATGCAATAGAGGCATAATTTTACTACACTTTTTTTAAGTCATCGATTTTGTTGATATGCGAAATTCTCTAGGCTAGCGATACATAGGTCTGGTAAATCCATTAGACACTAGCATCACGACCTGAGGGGGTAATCAAGATTCAATGACAGCAGTAACACGCCTGGGTGCCCATATGGATTCCCTGTTCAGATAGTGCTTTTCAATGCATAGACAAGCAGACAGCAGTAATAGATATTGGGAGAATGTTAACGTTTGCTGATGATGTCCTAGTTTACCAACAGGGGGAATGGACGTCTAAACTCTAGACATGACTGTCTAGAGAAGTGCAAACTGCAAGATATAAAGTAGGTTACCCTTGTGAAGAAACAGGCGCCATCATCAAGTCAGATAAAGAAGCAGCATCGTACTCTTCGTTGTTTGATAGAATAGTTACTCAACTTCATAATAAGTGGGAGTGAGCTTTCAGGAAAGTCCACCCTCCAAGTGTTCTCTAGAAGAGTTGGTGTTAAAGATTGGAAATGAACACATCGAAGGTGATAACGTCAGTAGATATGAACCAGAGAGTGTTGTATAAACTCTACCAGCAGCTGCTCATTTCTGTGGATGGGTATGGTCTGAGACTGCTCACATAATCTCAAACCCAAATAGAGAAACCGGAACGCAAGCAAACTGAGGCCCTGCAAGTCGTCAAGGCCAGTACACCGCAGCGGGAAAGGAGCACCATCTTTAGGGGTGATACCAAGGGCGACCAGCTGAACAGAGGTGACTCTTGGGTCGCATTATTATGTTTATGCATGAGGCAGCAAAGATTGCAGATAATGCAGTTTTGGCCTCAATGCCGTCCAGCAAAACATCCCTACATAGAGTGATAATTTCTTTGGAGCCCAGAGTGCTGGTGAAACGGAAGCTTCAGTGCAAGAGTTGATTAATTAAAATTCACACCCACACAGGTGTCTATGTAGTAAGAAGTAGAAAAAGAAGATGGGGTTCGCGGATATTAAAATATGCAACGTAGGTACCAAGAGCAGTAACACCCTAGTCTTGGGGGTCGAAGAGGCTGGGCTCCCGACCCCCCTCAAGCATATAAAACTCCCCTCTCCGACCTCCCGCCTTGTAACATTAGGAGCTCCGCCCTACCTCAAACCACAAACCCCCCACCCCACCCCCACGCTTATAAAACTCGAGGGGTCCCTCTCTATCCCCCCCCCCCCCCTTAGCCTTGTAACCTTAGAAGCCCCCACACTACCCCTACCCCAAGAACCACTAACCCCAAAACCCCCATACCGCCGAATTCTTTTCGCGTGGTTTCATTACATAAGTGAACTGGCATTGTTTCAGAAAAGAAAAATCAAAAGGACAGCATCTCGCGTGTAACATTACAACATTTAGAATGCAACGGAGGCGGAGGCAGTAACGACAGCTTTTCGATTGGTGGAGGGTGGTAGAGTCTGACATGTTGTCATTGAAACGGACTCATGGAACATTCTTTCAAAAATAGAAACGGGTGTACTATGAGTAGAGTGGCTTAGTAATGTGATAAGACACCGATCAGGAACAAATGAGTGATCTGCTTAGGATATTCTAGTGTGCGTGTTAATGTGCTGGCTGTCACTGCTTCTCTGGGCGGTGAGCTGCTTTATGATAAAACAGGCTCAGCATCCATGCCTCGAGAGACTGAAGAAACTGGTAGTAAATGGAAGGTCTCTGTTTTTTTTTTTTTTTTTCTTGTCAAAACGTAGATTGAAAGAAGAAGTTTAAGATTGAACCGAGCACAACCGTTTGGCAAACCTAGCCTGGCTAGTGAGCCAGTCGGCAGAGCAGAGTGAAAATGCCTCAGCTGCAATCATGCCAGTTCCTAATTCATTCATTCATACATTCATGAATATCAAAAGTTTTGACCCGCCATGCATGTGAGATACTAGCATTAAAACTTAAATCTTAGATGCTCATTATACTTGAAAATTAAAACTTGAACCTTTGATGTGCATGAAACATTATCATCGAAGAAGAGACCAAATCAGTCTATATGTACAACTATCTATCAACTAACCCGGCAGGTAATTCCACCAGCATGCTAAAAGGCCAGATATAGATCTCTCTACTTCAGACGGAGTATATCTGAGGTGACTTGCAGCAGCATTACCTTGTAGATTATGACTGTCGTGAGAGCGAAGACATAGAGACTGTCCACGATTCTCATCAAGTCGATAAGCATATTCAAGATGGCACAGGCAAGTTGTGTGCGTAGGCAGGGGATTTGAGTCTTTATAGGGGGTGTCTAACTATCATTGATATGTCTGGGGATTGCACAAGGGTAGAAGTAGGGCGGTTACTAAGCTTGTTTACAGTGGCAGGCAGATATTATGAACGTTTTTAGAGCCACTGGTCGGCTCGATACTTTGTGCATTATTAGAACTATTGGTCTGTCCAATATTTTGAACTTGATGAGAACTACTGACCCGCCGATATTCTGATCGTTTTCAGAGCTGATATTCTGAATATTATTAGAGCAAGTGACGGTTATTAGAGAAATTATTAGGCCGATATTTTGAACATTTTTAGAGCTACAGATAGGTCCAATATTTTGAACATTAAAACTACTGCTAGGTCCAATATTCAGAACATAATTAGAGCTACTGGTCGGTCTAATGTTCTGAACGTTATTAGAGCTGCAGATCGGTCCAATATTATCAACGTTTTTAGAACTGCTGGTTCATCCGATATTCTGAAAGGTATTAGACCTACATCGGTCCAGTTTTTCAGTTTCCTACTAGACATCTTAATTACGCTTTTTATCTGTCCGGAGTTTTCTTTTCTCTAGTTTTTTTAAATACCATCTCAGCCTCTTGCAAATAATTTCGCAAAAATCAGCTAACTGTCCACGATTCCCTTTCATATATCAGGATAAAATTTGTGTATAATTCTCTCTACTAGAAGCAGTGAAATCTAGCTGCTTATACTTCAAAGAAGAATGAGGATGATATAAGCACGAACTAGCTACTTCACTCACATATTTAAAACACATGATAAAAGTATTCAGGCTCAATATCCTCGCACTAAAGTTTTGTTATTATTCATTATACACGAGGAAATGTCACAGGAAAATGAACAATTACACATGAACAACTTACGGCAAGGACGAGTGACAACGGATCGTTGAAACTCAAGATACTGTCCCTGACCATCCCAGAGCATCCAATCACTCTATAGGTCGCTGCAGCCCTAGGACCTGGGCAATTGAGATTCAGTTGTGCCGGAATATCGGGACAATTCCATGTGCGAAAATGCCGGAGGAAACTGCATATGTCTGGATAGGTGCTAAATTAACAGCGAGAAGAAAGAAAGCTGGTATATTATTTTGGATATTGAGCATGCGGTAATACGAGCGTGCAAACATATACAAGTATTCAAAACAATGTTTTCCCGTAATGAATTTAAATAATGCGGATACAAACAATTTTTTGCCAGACATATTTCGTATCTCATCAGGTTCGTTACTACAGAGTTAGATCAACATAAAATCAAGCACAAAACTGAAGAAATTCAAATGAAATGCGAATAGTTTCTTCCTATACATTGTGTCTGTTTCCTGGCCTCCGGAAGCGGGTTCTTTCCTCTTGACTGGTCTAGACACCATAGAAGAATCACTGAACTGTGTAAGTAGCCATTTGGGTTTGTGCTCTGTCACTCTATTCCCGAGCTGTCTCTCCGTTCGACCGATGTAAGTCAACTGGCACATAATGTAAACTGGTGAATACAATCAATTAGATTTGGTGTACGAAAACACGAGCTGTTTGATCAATTGTGCAATGTATTGTTTGTATCCGCATTATTAAAATACTAGTTGTACCCGGCCAGGCGTTGCTGTGGCCCGGAATGGTGAAATGGAGAGGAAAGAAAATGGTTTTCAGCTAACAGTGTCTGTCATATCCGCCCTCCCCTCGACACAGTCGTATCTCCCTCTCCGAAGGATTGACAAATGATCCACATCGAAATTATTAAAATAGAAATAGTTGAGAAATTAGAACTTTTAAAATAATATTTTAAGCTCTCTCAGCTAACTGTGTTTGGCATAATTTACCCCCCCCCCCCCCCCCCCCCCCCCCCTACCTTCCACCAATCATATCTCCCTCTCCAAAGAATTGAAAAATCATCACCTGGCGAAATTATTAAAACAGAAATAGTTAAGAAATAAGAAATGTAAAATAATAGTTTAAGCTCTCTCAGCTAACTGTGTCTGGCACCCCCCCCCCCCCCCCCTCCACTTTTGACGAAATATTGTAACTAAATTGAGCTTGGCATTCGTGTCCACCCAAACTTAAATATGTAGCATTAACTTGTATTGAGAAGTAAATGTGGCCAGTGTAACAGCTACCACATCACCCATCCAGTGCCAGTACTACTGCAACCACTACCACCACCACCATCACAACAACAACAAAACTGTTATTACAGTCTGTGTAGGTTGGTGTAGAAAATAGGAGTTAACGCCGCATGCTGTCGCCACGAACTATTTAGTTTAATGCTGCCCCCAACATAGACAAAAAAAAACCTTCGTAACGTAACCAGTGATGGAACCCACAGTGAAAAGTACACTATACTCACGAATAGCGGAGAAAAATACCCCGCACCCGTCATCTCTCCCTCTCCGAAGGAACAATTTTTAACTGACCTCGGCATCCGTGTCCACCCAAACTAAACCGGACTGTAAGCCGTCTTGGGTAACACTTTCTTTCATCGCCGAATAGTTTTTGATCGCGGGGAGGCTAAATGTGACTTAACTGAAATCGGATGTCTTTGGACGAAGGGCGCAGATATCGCAGCCTAGCTGTAACCCACAACACAACGTGGCAACCACCCTTTTAAGGGAAAAAGAACAATTATCACCCAGCGGGGAAGCGAACATCGGTCACCCAAGTGAAAGATGGAATACATAAAACTATACTACCGAGGACTGAAGAGTTTAGGTCAGATATCGTAGCCTAGCTGTAAACCACAACACAACGTGCCAACGGCCTTCTCGAGGGCGAACGAAGATTACCCGTGAAATGACCATTGAGCATCACGTCGCCGCTGTCGCAGGCTAGCTGTAAACCCTAAAACCGAAAAATGCGTAGATATCGCAGCCTAGTCACAAACCACAACACAACGTGCCAGCCGCCAAGTTAATGACTTAAATAATTTTTTTATCACCTAGCGGGAAATCGAACGCGGGTCACCCGCATGATACACAGAATAGTTACCAACTACGCCACACTCGAGCAGATAGTGGGAATGAGATTATATAATAATGCAAAGTTCAATAAGAGCTCGGCAGTCAAATATTGCCAATCAACTAAAAATAAATCCGGGCCGGCAATGAAACAAATAATGATTTGACTGTTGCTGGAACTACGTCGTTCGTGGTTTGCTCGATTTTATGACAAAAACTCACGCTTTGAGACACAGGCAACGTTTTGTGAAAATTTGAGAGCAATCGGTTATGTAGTTTCCGAGTTTTCAAATAACAAAATCGGAAAAAATTAACATTGTTATTAATATAGATATAACTATGTCATCTAGAAAAGACGTAGAAGTGGCAATGTGGACCCTAACCCTAGTTAAAACAACAGTCCAACCGAACCAAAAGCTGCTTGAGCATGTACATACAACAATGTGGTTTAAAAGCTATATGTTCCAATGTTCCTTTAAAGTGCCTATATGAACAGGCACCCCATATGTGTAACTAGCTAGGGTGAATGGTTAGAGGAAGAGAACAATATGTTGTAACTAGCTAGGGTGAATGGTTAGAGGATGAGAACAATATGTTGTAACTAGCTAGGGTGAATGGTTAGAGGATGAGAACAATATGTTGTGACTAGCTTGGGTAATTGGCTAGAGGATGAGAACAATATGTTGTGACTAGCTTGGATAATTGGCTAGAGGAAATGAACAATATGTTGTGACTAGCTTGGGTAATTGGCTAGAGGATGAGAACAATATGTTGTGACTAGCTTGGGTAATTGGCTAGAGGATGAGAACAATATGTTGTGACTAGCTTGGGTAATTGGCTAGAGGATGAGAACAATATATTGTGACTAGCTGGGGTAATTGACTAGAGGATGAGAACAGTATGTTGTGACTAGCTGGGGTAATTGGCTAGAGGATGAGAATAATATGTTGTGACTAGCTTGGAAATTGGCTAGAGGATGAGAACAATTTGTTGTGACTAGCTTGGGTAATTGGCTAGAGGATGAGAGCAGTATGTTGTGGCTACTTTAGGATGTGGCTAAAGGATGAGAACAATATTCTGTGGCTAGTTCAGGATGTGGCAAAAAGATGAGAACAATGTGGCTAGTTAAGGATGTGGCTAAATGATGAGAACAATATGTTGCGATTAGTTCAGGATGTCGCAAGAGGATGAGAACACTATGTTGTGTCTTGTTCAATTATGTAGCTAGAGGATGAGAACAATATGTTGTGTCTTGTTCAATTAATGTGCCTAGAGGTTGGCCATAGTATGATATGGCTAAATTCGCATAAGGAGGGGTACAGTTTACTGTGGCCAGGTACACTACGTGGCTAGAGCACGAAAAAGCACAAATGTGTCTAGCTCTGCTCAATACTGTTTGTAGAGACAAAAGTGTCATTTTCTAAACTATGTATATTAGATTATAAACCAGAAGGGCTGAACAGGATCAATCCTGTTACGTTACAATTACATCCAAGAATGGGGTGTTCATTAGCATTGAAAACCACACTAATAAAAGGTAAAGTCAGGAGACGTGAACCAACGTCATTTCACACGGTTATAAATCATAAGTGCTCTGCCACCATTACGGACAGCTGATAAAACTGTCGGCCTGTTTCGCCGTCCGCACGTAACTCTGTAGCTACAGCGACGTTCCTCCATATACCCCAGAGTGTCACTCTGGTGCCCATTTCCTAGAGGCTGGGTGAGCCCCGGAAATCGCCTGGTTTTGAACACCGACCGTGGCTGCAGCGAGTCGCAGCTTGATTTGAAAGCGAGCCTCCTATCGACTGCGCTAACGCGGCACACTAATTAGCTCCAGATAGACACCTACCATGGTAACCGGTTGTTGCAAGGAAGACGTGTCCATCTCGATAGAACCCTTTTACGGATGATGACTTCAACACTCAGGTTCCGGTTTAGTGCTTGTGTAAACTCGATGTCCAAGGAAACGTAGATAGGACCTGGTACTACAATCGGGAAAGGGACAATTTCCAGGTTTCTGATGATGATGATGTCCCTACTTTGGTTTCTGG